ATCTAATATTTACATTTTTTAATTATCTAAAACATTTAGGTGTGACAAACATAACATAAATAAATAGGAAAGCACACCAAAGAGTTATCATCAGCAGAGGAAGCAGTGTGGGCCATCAAGCAGATTCACCTTTGGTTTTCCGTCCTATGCACTCTCTGGGGGCAGCCGCTTCCTCTGCCTCTACTTCACTGTCCGACAGGCCAACATCCTCATCTGACCACGCATTTTTCTTGGGCTTCTTGGTAACAGGCTTGAACTGAAGAGTGGTCTGCTTGCCCGTCTTTGATGCTGCTGCACACGAGAAATGCACTTCTTTATGAACTTAAACAAAAATGTAAAAGTTAAGTGCAAACTGATATTTATTATAGCAACTTGCTTATGATTATCAACATTTTTGACTGAATATTACAGCAAGCACCAAATTTTACACAATCCAGTTTTGTGTGCATGAAGGAACGTCTGTATAGTTTGGATTAGGTTGTTGAAAACCTAATCCAAACTATAATTCCCCAAAAACGGAGTTTGTATTCATGTTGAGTACAATATCATTTAGTTGAGAGCCGGCAATTTTCAGAACTTGAGAGGCTAATTTTGATTTTGCTCCAGCGAGGATTGTGGAGGTCAAGTCTGCAAAATGTGTATTGTTACAGGTTTGCCACTAGATATCACTAAAGAGCTTCGTGGTTACACCAGTAAGCAGAGGTGTGTGATCATAGTTGAAATGATTTCCAGGCGATATCCTGAACAGTCATTTCTACCTTTTTCTGCTGCTTGGGTCTTGGTTTTCTTGCTCAGCCGTGCAGCTAAGCCCGTTTCCTCAACCGGCTCTGTATTTTCTGCATCCTCTCCAAACTCCATCTTCATCACAACATCTTCACTCTTCAGAGACAGAAACGAGGTCAAGAAAAATGTTACTTTTGGGCAGTTTGTTGTTCTGAATGTGTTAATGTAAAAAACAGTTTACATGCACAATCACATACCTTGATTTTCTTTCCTCTCTTGCCCTCTCCTTTCTTCAGATCAGCCTTCCTGTTAGCTTCAGCCTTCATGGTGCTGGTGACACGTGGAATGACACGGCGGCCCTGTGGAGTGGGCAAAGTCTCCTTTTTCACCTTTACTGCTTTGCCTTTTCCAGTTTTTACAGGAAGGGTGGCATTTTCCTTTTCCTTTGCCTCAACCCGCTAAACACAAGAAGAAGAAAAATACATCACAAGTTTAACCAGGAGCAAAAGCACTGATCACAGTTGTTCTTTAGATATAACATTATCACAGTCTGATCACATGACTAACAAAGTGCACTGATTGGATATAAAGCAGAAAAAAAGAAAAGAGGAAGACAGAAAAGATCCAGTACCGCCAGTTCCTCAGAGAAGGCAGCAAGGTCCTCCCTCCACAGGTCTGCTGGACTCTTTTTCTTTAGGGTGTTCAGCTCTGTCACCTGTACAAGA